AATGCACCGTAATTTTACGTTTCGTAAGTTTTGTCTTATTTCCGACGCAAAAAGGGACCGTAAGAAAATATATAATCACCGTAAAAAATATTTTATGTTATGTAAAATTATAAACGTAAAAACATAGTCTGAAATACACATAAACTGCAAATTTTCTTGTCTTATGATCTATATTTTTATTTTCTTATGTCAAATTTTACGTAGTGAATCAATAGAAATGTAACTATTTGAATTCCAAGCGTAGTTTAATTATGAAATGATCGTAAGATTACCTCGGGTAAAGAATAACTTATTCTGCACCCTGGGTGATGAATAGTAACACTATATATATATACACATACATAAACACTATTCTGATCACGGGATTAGAAATAATATTCTGATCACAACATGAACTTCCCAAGTAAGGCGCCTGACCTTCCCCGAGTACTAGGTTGAACTTCAGCTAAAAGGTGTCCAAATGGGGCTTGTGATATATCGTTGGAAAGCTATGGAGATCAGTATCATGACCCAAGTTAAATTTTTGACAAAATGTAAGCGGTTTAAGAGCAGTTTTGAAAACCGTTTTTTCTTCATACAAAAAACGTGAATCGTATTTTCGATCGCATTTTTAAATCGTTTATCGGAATGAGGCAAATAATATGGCGTTGGAAAGCTGCTGCAAAACCACTCCTTCCATATGTTGAAAGTTTTCTCTAATTCCCTGCGGTTAAAGAGTAATTCGGAAAATCGTAAAATTTCACAAACCGAACAGCCGAGTTCGTTTTTTCGATGCCATTTCTAAACGGCTAATCCAATTGAGGCAAATAATATGGTGTTGGAAAGCTTATTAAATGCACTACTTTTTCATGTTAAAAGTTTTCTCTAATTTTGAACAGTTTAAAAGTAATTTAGAAAACGATACAACTTCCACCGAGTTCGTATTTTTGAGCTAATTTTTTAACCGTACGTCCAAATGCATCAAATGATATGGCGTTGGAAAGCTTGAAGAAATGCGAAACTTTTTTTATATATTGTTTCTCCTAATTCATTACGGTTTTATGTTAGTTTTGAAAATGACTAAAAATGTATTTTTGCCGTAATTTATACAAAGTTTATCGGAATGGGGCAAATAATATACCGCTGAAAAGCTATGGAAAATGCGAAACTTTTTCATGTTGATGGTTTTCTCTGATTCCTAGCCGTTTTATGTAATTTTGAAAACGGCGAGATCACTCGTTCTGCCTTTATTTCGAAACAGATTTTTCGAAAATGCACCGCTTGAAGAACCTGACCTTCTCGGCATGTGTACCTGAACTTCACTCTGTTTTTCACGTGATTTTTTTGCTCGTAGATCTTCATCCACTGCTCGTAGCACTCCATCCCACTCACTGGAATTGAGCACTTGATATACCGATGGAAAGCTGCTGTAAACACGCAACTTTCCCGTGTTGATCATTGTTTCATACTCGCGACGATTTTGAAAGTTTTTCATCTCAAATTCATTCACTATAGTAGTCGAACTTTCTGCTGTTTTCACGCTGAACTTTTGTGGTGTATTTTCGTTTGTAATTTTGTCATCCATTCGTCGGTGTTACACAAATCATATTCCTTTTGTACAAATCTCTTTCACAATAATTTTTTTAACTTTCTCCGACCTTGAGCTTACAACAACAAAAAACTTTTAGCCTTTGCTTTTTTATTTTTTTAATACAAAATGCACACCATGTAGTACGTGAACTTCTGACAGTTATTAATCTGAACTTCTCTCGGTTATGTGAAAATATCTGAGTTTTTTTATGAATATTAATCTAAATTTCTTAATCCTTTTTTATGAATTTTGAAGCACCCTATTTTTAAACGTTGAACTTCTCGTTATTTTATTTTTGAACTTCTTGTTTTCATTCTTTAATAACGAGGAAAATCTGAGTTTTTTATAATCATCGAACTTCTCCATCTTTTTATTATGGACTTCCTAGTTTATTTCTTAATCTTTTTTATGAATTTTGAAGCGCTCTATTTACAAAATTTGAACTTCTTGTTATTTTATTTTTGAACTTCTTGTTTTCATTCTTTAATAACGAGGAAAATCTGAGTTTTTTTTATAATCATCGAACTTCTCCATCTTTTTAATATGGACTTCCTGGTTTATTTCTTAATCTTTTTTATGAATTTTGAAGCGCTCTATTTACAAAATTTGAACTTCTTGCTTTTTATTTTTGAACTTCTTGTTTCCATTCTTTAATAACGAGGAAAATCTGAGTTTTTCTATAATCATCAAACTTCTATATCGAACCACTCTAACTTTTTATTTGAATTTACTTTATGTATTTTTAGAAATATGAAAATTGTAGTTTTGTTAGAAACATCAAACTTCTTACTTATTTTGAATTGAAGTTATTTGTTTTATTCTTTAGTAACCAAAAAAATTCAAGTTTTTAATTAAATATCAAACTTCTCCACGTTTTTAAATTGAACTTCTTGGTTTTATTCCTCAGTAACGAGAAAAACTTAGTTTTTATTGTACATTGAATTTCTCTGTTTTTCCAAATTGAACTTCTTGGTTTAATCTTATCGGGGAAAATCTGAATTAAAAAAATAGGGAAAATCTTTTTAAAACCTTTTGTTGTTGTTCCCTTATTTTAGTTTGAACTTATTAGTTATACTTTAGAATGAGAATGTGAGGTTTTTATCAACTTTGAACTTCTCAGTTATTTTAATTTGAACTTCTTAGTTTTATTCTTTACTAACGAGGAAAATCGAGTTTTTTGAACCTCTTTGTTTTAAAATTCTGAACTTCTTAGTTTTATTCTTTACTAACGAGGAAAATAGAGTTTTTTGAAC